AATACAATACAGTAGGGCATCGATTATCCGAATACCAGTCAACCAAAAGTGTTCCAGTCAGCGAATTCAAATTTCCACTAGTGCTTTGGCACTGCAGCATTCTCCTCCTCCCTGCCAACCTAAACTGTAGGCCTATTTTAACGTACTACTTTATGTAAGATATGTATTTATAAGACGTGTTATACAAAATATGTACAGTACAGTTTTGTGTTTAATATATTTTTTCGTAAATGATCAGTTATCTGAAAAATCAGTTATCTGAACTACCCCAGTCCTGAATTGTTTTGGATAATCAATGCTCTACTGTAATAATATTTAGAATGTTTGTCACATTGTGAACAAAACACCCTTTTATTCATATCAATAAATTTAGAATTAAAATAAATCATTTTATTTTCTTTATTGTTAGAATAAAGAAATTTAATCAACATTTGCATGTATTACATACATCTATCATAACATTGCAAAAAAAATTTTTATACTTCATATAAATATTTGTTTTCAACAAATACTTTAAATCAGATAAAATAAGTTATAGTTTTCAATTAAAGTTTTTAACATATTTGATAATCACTTATAATGTAATTTGAAAAAAAGTCATAATTACCCAGAGTTCCTGATATAATATCCATTTTGTGCAAAACATTATCTCTCTCCCCAATACCAGCTCCATGTTTCCCATATAATCCAACAGCATGCACTTCATCAACAAATGTCAAAGCTCCATAACGATGAGCCACATCACAAAGTTCTTCTAAGGGACAAACAGCACCTAAACAGCAGGAATTTCATGCATTATTAAATATATCAATTCTTATATCACAGATTCCAATGTTGACAGGAAATAATTATAAAAAGATATGAAATCTTGATAATGTGTAAAATCAAGATTTCTAATATCCAGATATGCAAATAAGAGATTAAAACTAATTAACATAAACCACAATATAAAACATGTCATTTACTTTACATATGACTAGGCATTATAATTTATAATTAAAAATTAATTTCATAAAACATGTTATCTTTATTTTAATAATTTGCTAAAATTTGATAGACTATAAATAAAATTAAATTTTTAACTATGTAAAAAGTCACAAACTAAAGTAAGTTCCAAATAATCTAGAATAAACTTTGATTTTAAGTTAATATTTAGTGCAATGAAAATAAATGATATTCATTTTCATAAATGATAATGTAAGCTTACCTGTCATCGAATGAACAGTTTCAAATGCAACAATTTTAGGAACAGATATATCAACAGATTTTAACAACTCTTCCAAATGATTAGGATCATTATGTTTAAAGATATGTTTTATTGCTCCACTGTTTCGTATGCCTTGTATCATTGATGCATGATTTCCAGCATCAGAAAATATATGACATCCTAAATAAAATTTTAATAGCTATATTTAATGAAATTTAATTTTTTTATAATTAAATACAGTGATTAATTCAAAAATACTTTTATTTTAGTATCTGCATAAAAAATAAAAAATAATAATAGTAACCTGGTAAAGATTTGGCTAATGTAAATAAGGTTGAATCATTAGCAACAAAACAAGATGTAAATAGAAGTGCAGCTTCCTTTTGATGTAATGTTGCTAATTCTTTCTCCAGCTTTTCATGAAATAAACTATTTCCAGATATATTACGAGTTCCTCCAGCACCAACTCCATGAGCTTCAATAGTTTCCCTTAAAGCAAAAGTTTTCAATGTCATAATAATTCATTTAAGAATAAATTTTTCTTAATCAATATACATACTTAACAGCTTTTTTAACTTCAGGGTGTCTACTCATTCCCAAATAGTCATTGCTACACCACACTGTTATAGGGCGAGATCCTTCAGTAAATTCAAATGCCTGAGGAAAGTTATCAGCCAAGCGATTAACTTTTTTAAATACTCTGTATGAATGATCCTTTTTTTTCTTTCCAATTTGTTCCAGGAAAAAGTCTTCATAATCAAAAGTTTGACCTCTTTTTTCCTCTGAAATAAAATTATAATTCATTAACCTCATCAAAACTATTTTTTAATAGAGTAAATCTGTTATACAAATATTATATTTAAGTATTAATTCACAAATAGAAAATAAACTATTAATAATATATAACTGATACAATTTAAAATGCCTATACTAAGCTGTATTAATTCAATCTATAGTACAGAAATATTTCTGTCAATTAAAAGAAAATTTTTATTAACACAATAACAGTATCATTTACAGTTGATGACTTAAGAATTGTTAAATCAATATATTTCATTTGAGATTATTCAATACTAATAATAATAATTTATTCATATATCAATGTTAAATTAATTAGTTTAAAAACATTTATAAATAAAATTTTTAAAAAGTAAATTAAAATGTAACTAATTTCCACAAATAAACTCTACCATAAGATTTTTCCTTTGTCAGATCTATGATATCATGTTGCATTTCATCACTTGCAGCCTTCATAGTTGGTTTAACAGAAGAAAGAAATGGGCATTTTTGATCCTCACTTGGATTTTCTATTAAAATATTTTAATTAAATTACATATTATTTTATAGTTAAATTCCAATAATAAAAAATGCTTTAAAATATGAACAATAAATGCTAACTTTTAATAATAATACTAATTAAATGTATTATAAACAATATAATATAATATCTGACTTAATTATATCTTTTCTTAATTTTTCTGTTCACTTGCTTATGCATTACTGACTTTCATCAAAACATTAAACTATTAATAGGATTCATTAAAGTCTAAGTTCAATGAATATTAAATAGCTTGCAGATAATAACAATATTTGAATAATTAATTTCTTTCTGTGGAAAACTGAAATATGTAAATTTTATATTTTTACAAACATAAAATATAGTTTCTAAAAATCAAGTTTCTATTTTAAGACTATAATTTAAAATATAAACAAGTATTATTATAAAATTTTAATTAATTTTAATATGTATCATTCCATATAAATGCAAAAATTAATATAAGAAATATATTTGTAGATCTTTAAGATCATCTTTTCTCCGATCATAATCAATTATTATTTAAATACTGTTGAAATTTGGTTTTAAGCAAGAATTATTTCAAGGATTTGTTTATTCTATATTCATTTCATTAAATTTTACAATGTAATTTTATTTTTTATGGATCTATGTCAATGATAATTGACAGAAGAATTGAGAACTGCATTTTGGTTTGTTAATATATATGTTATTTTTATATCATTAACACTACCAATGTAAATTTAATTATAAAAAATATATAAATTTAATGTAATTATGAATTGTTTAGTATACAGATTAACAAAAAAAGGAAAAGTTCTTTTAACCTACTTTCTGAACCTTCTGTTGTTGCAGCAGTTGCAAAGAATCGGGTCATGTAAGGACATTTATCCATATACATTTCCACTACAGATCGACCATAATTACGCACAAAAGGAGCAGGGAGACGCGTTATGAAAGGGCAGGGACCACTTGCTCCATGTGCAGTTGCTCTCAAAATTCCTAAAATTTATAATTTATAGCATTAATTTAATCAAAAGTTAAGTGGTATTACATTGATACAAATATTTTTATGTACAAAAATTATATCTATCAAATCAGGTACTAAAAGATTAGAATATTAAATAAATTTAAAAAATAATAAAACTTGTGTACTGATAATGACAGAATTGTAAATTTACAGAAATTTTATAAATACCAGTATATGTTTTTAATCAACATTCATATCAATAAAGGAATCTGACAGTAGAAATAGTTAATATTTCATTATGTTAATTCATTTTCAATATAAAGAAGTTTCTTATAGTATTTTAATAAGAAAACAATATTCTTACAGTGCTCATTTTATCAATTAATTTTAAATTACATTTTATAAATAATAAGAATTTAATGTTATAGTAAATTTTATATGAACTATATTTATACACAGTATTTAAAAAATCAGACAATTGTATGCTTCTAGTAATATCTGAAATTCATAACACTAAATAATACTGTATATACTAGTACAAATTATTCAAAATAATACAAACTATTATTTCATTTACATGCTTTAGTTCTTAAGAATGCTTTGTTATATTTTACTTATATAAATTATGTTTATATTCTTCATTTACTATTTTCAAACAAAGTCTATGAACTATTTATTCCAAATTATTCAGTGCAATAACACAAGTGCTATGTATAATATTTATATTTTGACTGAAACATTATTTACTGTGACAGATCCTTTTAAATTTCTCAATGCTGATAATATAAATTTATAATTTCACACAATTTTTTAAATAATTTTATACTTTAAGTATATCAATTGAATATTTGATTTCAAAGGATCATCGTAGCCTGCATTTCTTAGTAATTACTAATAGCTACTGTGGTTACATAATGACAGCCTTTATGTAGAGATGGTGCTCTTTATTCCCTTAGAATATCCTTTTAAAAACGTTTCAAATGCTTGTATTGTTAATTCAAATTTTAGAGTTAGGAGTTCGATTTTTTCGTTTATTCTTGGAAAAGGTCATTGAATATGACCGAAAACGTTAGAATGTAATAAATACGGCTGCATATTTAAAAGGTTTTCTTGAGTGAGCTTAATTTCAAAGGATCAATATAAGGATTAATATAAAAATTATGTTTATATTTTTATGAAAAGAAATTTTTAACAATTAGGAATAAGTTTAATAAACAAATATAGTATAAAAATGAACACAATATACAACATGAAACAATTAATTATCATCAATTTAAAAAAAAAAAACATCATTTTACACTTACTTATTTAATATAAAATAAGAATTACACTTTGAATAAAAAATATATTTTTACCTTGAGTGGGTCCTGAAGAGCTAATAGTTTGTGCTAAGTTAACAAAATGTTGACTTAAAATCTTCTTGCCAGATTGCAATACCTAAAAATTCAAACACAATTATGTATATAATAAATTTCTATCAATTTCTTAATTTCTTCTTACTTTAGTTATATATTAAAGAATAATTAAAACTGATCACACAGGAAATAATCTTATATTAATATCATATTTCTTTTAAAAAATATATTGTGTAATACATTTTCTAGTAAATATAATTACATAAATTATTCTAAAAATATTTACATCTATAATTGATTTAACAATGACTTTAAAAATCATTAGAATATTCTCTCTATCAGGTTGTATTTTGACTAACTAATAATTAACAATATCAAATAATTTGGTCTAAAGATATGTGTAACGCTAATATGAATTATACATTCCTGGCATAGGAATTTATATAAATTTTTGTTAAATTATATATATTTTGAATTAAAAATAGCATCATATATGAAATAAAAGCCCGAACATAACTCGTTATTAATCAAATCATTAAAACACTGAATTATCTCAGGTTATATTTCATCTAACTGATAATTAATGATATCAAACATTTTAGTCTAAAGGTAGAGATATCTGTAGATTAAATTATTAGTTAAGTATTAATTAGCTAATTATCAATTAATGTTAATTATTAGTTAGCCAAAATACTGTTTGAGATAATTAGGTGTTTTAATGATTTGATTATTAGCAATAGCATCCAATTAATTTTCAATATCTGATGATTTCAATAAACATTTTAGTTTATTGAAATAAAAAAAACACTAAACCTATAATATTCCAACAGTATTACATTTTTAAATTCTGTATTTTACATACTTTTAATAATAATATTTAATGGAACAGAATATTTTGTATCTTGTCTAGAAGTTACAAAAGAAACTTTGATGTTTATTATGCATTCCTTTTTAAGAAAATTATTAATCTATAATAATAATAAAAAAATTAATTGTTCACAGAACTGCATAAATTTAAAATGTGTTTCAATCAGATCACACCTGTGCTTTTGTTTCACAAAAAAAAAACAACCATCTGTCTTATTTTGCAATGCAAACTTTAATAATCTGTGAGATGTAGCACATAAGGTAAAATTCAAAATAAAATATTAGGTTTATAAATTCATTTTATTATATATAAAGTTAAATAAAGCCAATAGAGAAAAATAATGATATACATAATGATTTATGTTATATTTTACTTTATTGAAATAAACAAAAGAGAGATGAAAAAGAGAGGAAAAAAAAACCTTATATAAAGCTAAAATAAATAAGTTTATTATTTATATTTT